ATATGCCAGGAACCCAAAGATTTGCCTGTTTCGAAGTTGGCGAGTTCATAAACATTCGTCGATAACTTTTTCAACCCAACTTGATATCTTTTATATGCCAGGAACCCAAAGATTTGCCTGTTTCGAAGTTGGTGAGTTCATAAACATTCGTTGATAACTTTTTCAACACCCGACATTTAACATATTTTGGAGCTAATTTACCCTGAAAGTGAGCAGATGCATCAGAGAGCTGAATATTCTTTTTCCACACTTCCTGGCCCACAGCCAAGGTCAAAGGGCGTCTACGCATATTGTACCGCTCTGCACTCGCAGAATAGGACTTTTTAAGTTTCGATCGAACCTCTGAACATAATTCCTGGACTTCTCGAACATGGTCTGATAACTCGTCCCTAGAAGCGAAATCTAGAGGCTGGTTATCTTGAAATTCCTGATGTCTTCTAAACATCCTACCTGAACCGCAGACCTCAAAGCATATCCCAAACTTGGCAATTTGTCATCCCATGTACGATGTTAACCACTGATATATCTCCTAATCAACGTTTTCAAGACTCGATTGACCCTTTCGGTGGGATTGGCATTAGGGCTATATTGGGCGTTGAGTACAATTCTACAATCATAGGATTCACACATCTTCCGAAATTTGTTGAACACATGTTGTCGACCATTATCGCATATCAATCTTTCAGGGACTCCAAATACCATGAATACATTTTCCTCGATGAAGCGGGCACAAGCTTCACCGGTCGCCGACTTTAAAGGACAAAGCGATGTGAATTTGGTGAATAGGTCCGTAACAACCAAAACGAACCTAGTGCGCTTATGTGACAGTGGTAAAGGACCTATCAAATCCGTAGCAACTACATCCCATGGATGAGATACTACTCTAGTGGACATAACTCCATAAGGCTTCTCTTGTTCTGGTTTTTGAGCCTTGCATATTTCACAACTCCGCACGTATTTTGAAATATCGCTGCTCATACCGGGCCAATAATGAAGTTTAGAAATACGTTTTCGCGTTTTGATATAGCCCAAATGTCTTGCTGTCACGTCATCATGATTCTCTAAGAGAACGGATCGACAAAGGTCTTTGGGGACAACGATTTTTCAGTCCGAATCAGCATCGGGCGATGGATAACCTGTATCGACAAACTTGTAGACCAAATTCTTTTCCACCTTCCATTTCGGAAACTTTTGGTGACTAGTCAAAATATTGGAACGAAGTTTCCGATACCAATTTCCACAATTTACTGGATCGATATCAATCAGAGATATTCCTGGTGTCACCATCCTAGACAGGGCATCCGGTACGAAATGGTATTTCCACTACGATGGATTATCTTGAAGTCATAACCTTGGAGTTTCAAAGCCCAACGAGCTAACCTTCCAGATTCCCTTTTGCACTACCCAAACCATTTCTCATTTGATCAAAGTAACCTTGAACTGAATCATTGATCATTTTGATTTGATCAGGATTTAAATAATCTGTTAAGGAAAGGCTATCAACAAAATCACACGACTTTCCCAACTCATATGAATGATTTCTAAAATAAGTGATGATATCCATATCTCTCCAAAAATCTATGCCAAAAATAATTTCATCCTGTAAATTTAACACAACTAAACATTTCATCAACTTAACCCTTGAATCCAATTTTATCGGAATATTAACTATACCTAAGACATCACATTTTTTTCCATTTGCCAACGAAACACTATGAATATTTTTTTCTGAAACCAAATTAAATTTAGATAGTTTATATCAGCCATCTCTACCAATACAAGTCCGAGATGCTCCGGAATCTAGAAGACCTCTGAAAAAAACACCATAGATCGTGACCTCTAAGCGAGGTCTCGGATCCAAACCAACCGAAGTAAACAAGGCATTCACTTTTTTCTTCAGTATTCTTCACCGACAAATAATTTCCATGACTTCCAGGAGTCAACAACCGGTTTTGTAGAAATACTTAACTTAGAGACCGTTGACCGGTTTGACGTTGGCCTTTCTTGTCGTTTTTTGGATTACAGGAACAAGTATATTTTGTTACACCTGATTTTCTACAACAGAAACAGAACTTTCTGGTTCTAGGTTCCCTACACCGAGAAAATGTGTGTTGATTAGAATTACAATTCCAACAGGATTTATTAGAGCTCTCAGCCTGATCAACATATACTTCATGAACCGAAGGTGGGTTTTCAAGTGGACCATTGTATGTTAAGTCGGGTTCCTAAAGACAAACATTACCTTGCGTCTTAGATTTGTATGCAAGTTCACGTGAAATCTCGATTTTTTTACAATTTTTTAAGAGTTCGTCAACACT